GGAGTTGGTCAGGGAGGAAGAGAGTTGGTCAGGGAGGGAGTTGTTTATGAAGAAGGGGAGTTGGTCAGGGAGGGAGGGAGTTGGTCAGGGAGGGAGGGAGTTGGTCAGGGAGGAAGAGAGTTGGTCAGGTAGGAAAGGAGTTGGTCAGGAAGGAAGGGAGTTGGTCAGGGAGGGTGGGAGCTGGTCAGGGAGGGAGGGAGTTGGTCAGGGAGGGAGTTGTTTATGAAGAAGGGGAGTTGGTCAGGGAGGGAGGGAGTTGGTCAGGGAGGGAGGGAGTTGGTCAGGGAGGAAGAGAGTTGGTCAGGTAGGAAAGGAGTTGGTCAGGAAGGAAGGGAGTTGGTCAGGGAGGTAGTTGCTCAGGAAGGAGAGGAGTTGGTCAGGGAGGAAGGGAGTTGGTCAGGGAGGAAGGGAGTTGGTCAGGGAGGAAGCGAGTTGGTCAGGGAGGATAGGAGTTGGTCAGGGAGGATAGGAGTTGGTCAGGGAGGATAGGAGTTGGTCAGGGAGGAAGGGAGTTGGTCAGGGAGGAAGGGAGTTGGTCAGGGAGGAAGGGAGTTGGTCAGGGAGGAAGGGAGTTGGTCATGGAGGAAAGGAGTTGGTCAGGGAGGAAGGGAGTTGGTCAGGGAGGAAGGGAGTTGGTCAGGGAGGAAGGGAGTTGGTCAGGGAGGAAGGGATTTGGTCAGGGAGGAAGGGATTTGGTCAGGGAGGAAGGGAGTTGGTCAGGGAGGAAGGGAGTTGGTCAGGGAGGAAGGGAGTTGGTCAGGGAGGGAGGGAGTTGGTCAGGGAGAAAGAGAGCTGATCAGGGAGGAAGGGAGTTGGTAAGGGAGGGAGGGAGTTGGTCAGGGTGGAAGGGAGTTGGTCAGGGTGGAAGGGAGTTGGTCAGGGAGGAGGGGAGTTGGTCAGGGAGGAAGAGAGTTGGTCAGGGAGGAAAGGAGTTGGTCAGGGAGGAAGGGAGTTGGTCAGGGAGGAAGGGAGTTGGTCAGGGAGGAGGGGAGTTGGTCAGGGAGGAAGAGAGTTGGTCAGGGAGGAAAGGAGTTGGTCAGGGAGGAAGGGAGTTGGTCAGGGAGGAGGGGAGTTGGTCAGGGAGGAGGGGAGTTGGTCAGGGAGGAAGGGAGTTGGTCAGGGAGGAAGGGAGTTGGTTAGGGAGGAAGGGAGTTGGTCAGGGAGGAAGGGAGAACTGTTGAGTGTGTATGTGACTCACTTTAGCCTAACGAAGCAAGGTGGAATTGGAGGTGTTGCAAGAATTATATTGTTTTCTTATCGCTGTGGAGAGCTAGTTACGAATATTAATTAAATAACACACTATAATAGTTGAACAGTACAGTACAGTATTTGGTTTGCTATTTATTCATTTAAATATTTACAATAAAATAAAATGGGATTTAACAGTACTTAAGGTGCATAATATTAAAGTCATTGTACAGCGTGTCAACACCCGTGTGTCGACAAGTGTGGAGGGGGGATGGGAAGGCTGGCGAGATGGGAGGGGCAGCCCGTCCTCCAAAAATGGGGAGGTAAATGTACACAGCCCTATAAGAGCAAATATGTACTATGTATGACAGTCAAGAATTGTACTTATTTACACTTAGTATTAAATCGTACTGTCAAATATATTGTGAATATTTGAGTTTACCTAAAAAGCTGAATAGAAAACCACAACCTCACCTAACCATCTTATTTTGTGAAGATAAGCATTTTATTGCATCCTAATTACAACTACTACTTGACCTATAGCTATACTGATATTAGTTTTATAAAACAAAACAAAACTAAAATATTTCAATAAATTGTAAAGTAACTCAGGATATTTTCAAATTTTGTATATAATCTCTATTGTTTAATAAAAGTGAAAAAGAAATTCCTAATATTTAAAACTTGTGTATAGCAACTGAACTTTAAAATTTCATCTTAAAATTTAAGTGTCCTAACAGAAAACGAGGAGAATTAAATCGGCGGAGGGGGATGGGTAAATGTAACAGCCCCGTAAGTGCAATTATGTATTATGTATAACAGTCAGGAAATGTACTTATTACACTTAGCATTAAAACGTACTGTCAATTCAGAGGATGGGTTGGGGAGGGGAGGGGGTGACCAGGCAGGAGATCACAGACATGTCATCTGTCTCTGTCCAGTCTCGCCCACCCACCCACTTGTTCATCCAACTGCCCGCACACCCACCTGCCTGCATGCGCACCCACCCACCTGCCAACCCACCCACCTGCTTACCTACCTACCTGCTCTCGCACCCACCTGTTCACCCACCTTCCTGCTCATCTACCCACCTGTTTACCCACCTGCCTGCTCGCCCACCCACCCACCTGCCTCCTAGAACCTGTTCACCCACCAAGCCCATCTACCTGCCATCCACCTATCCAAAACCCACCTGCCTGAACCCACCTGTCCCTGCCTGCCCATCTACCAGCTAGGCAGCTAACCACCCACCAAGCCCCCACACACTAATTAGTGTGTGTCAATTCAAGTCACAAGTGTGGTATAAAAATTGTTGGAAATGGTCCCTTTTGGACAAAGAGGTGAAAAAGTACTGTTATCCGGAAAACGTGATTATCTGGCTGGGGGTCCTTCCCATATAGTCTGGATAATCAAGTGGAGACAGTATCAAGTGAAAGATGCTTGAACGTTTTTTTAATACACTGCGTTTTTAATGGATTGGTAACTTCTGTAACATAAAAAATGTGCCGTATTAAGAGAACGGGTTGGTCATACCAGTACACAAGCTCTAGAGAGAGGGAAAAAGAAAGGAGCCCACCTGAAGTCATTGTCAAGGATTAAGTAGACAAGTAAGAATGATTGTGTGATATTACATGTACAATTTAGCTTCACCATGAGAACCAACCTTGTATATCCTGCCTCATATAGGAACTGAGGTACTTGTGTTGTTTTGCCACTACCTGTTGCTCCCACAATGACTGTGACAGCATTTTCATTTATTGCCTCCATTATTGTCTGTTCTTCTGCTAGAATTGGAAGTTTAAGTCTTGCTGCTTCGATGACAGCAGTGCGGTTTAAGTTCATGAACACAGCTGGCTTTGCTGGCTTCTTAGGTGGATCAATAGCTTTTGTCTCATTTTGTTGTACCTCTGATGGCTTTCTACAGCTCAGGTTAACTTCTGATTCCTGATTAGTGTCTTTTTCTTGTTGCTGCATGTCCTTTACTTCTACATTTGGATCACTCTTTTCTAGTTCCTCTTCTTCCTCGTCTTCACTTTCATCACTACTGCTAGATATTTCCTATAAGATTAATTTGATTAAGATGTATATCAATAGACAATGCTTTACATAGTAGTAATGCTTTCATAAAGGTTTATCAATCAAATGATTTATGTTATGATTCTGGGTTACTTGACTAACCATGGTACAGAAATAGCAAATAATTAAATGCTGAAGAGAAATGGTTTATACAATTAGATATGAGAGCTTTAACAACACATTTGAAATATACAGTATTCTGATAATCATTGGCATACAATACTAAAACCTTGCCTCTTCCTAGTACTATACATGTTGTTTATCTCAGTCTACACTGGTACCATGGAGGTTGTTTGGCTCATAGTCTACATTGGTATAAAGCAGGTAGCTTGGCTCACAGCCTAATAGTGGTACCATGTAAGCTGTTTTGCACACAGTCTACACTGGTAGTATATACAGTTAATTAGCATGAGTAATAATTCTAAATCCAAACAAGCATCTTTGTTGTATAATAATAGCAAAATTTACTATGCCTACCGCTGAATCTACTTTGCACAAAATCTCTGGACCAAGGGGTAGGCTCCCTAAATTGGAAATATGCAAATGTTACCCCCACTTTCAAAAAACCAGTGTTGAAAGTAATGAAATGCCATTTTCTGGGGTAAGACCTGGAAGCTCCCCGAAGCTATACCGGGCTGATGTGTATATATCAGACTGTGACAATTGATGGAATTCTAAGATTACCAGGGACCACGAGCCAGAACCTGGCCCCGCTCAGAGGCACGAGGAGCAATGGCCTACAGACGTTGGAAGCAGTCTATAGGCCATTGTTGGAATAGGAAATTGGAAGCAGTCTATATTTGACATCAACCAGGCCAGACACCCAGTAAAGTAATAATCCCAAAGCAAACTACAGCTGGTTAAAAATTGCAAAACGAAAACCGAACGAGCATGCAGAACTCCCCAATCAGAAAATAAGCAAACAAGCATGACGTCACCACAGCCGCTGTGCATCTGTCTGCGCAGCTCCCTAGCACTAGACACTAGAGCACTAGACCTTCCATGACAGCTACCCAACCCCGGTTCTGAGGCTGGACATCAAAAACGTGTAAAACCGCCAACTGGAGGGAGGGAAGGATGCTGGGGAGCTCCAGGTCTCACTGCTAGCCACACAGCCACAAACTCCTGCACCGTGCTGTGAACACAATGGAAGGACGGAGCCCAAAGTCCCTGGCCAGCGTGGTGAGCACTGGTCACAAAACCTCAGCAGAGAGACGAGCCATCCGTGAACACATCGAGTGAGGGAAGGGGAAGGGGAAGGTGCCATAATACCAAACCCCGATAAACCCAAAGAGAAAACTGGAGACGCAGCAACGGAGACAAGGACCCCTGGAGGCCGAACCCAACAATCGTGTGAGCGGCAAAAGGGGCTGCCCCGAAGATAGCAAAACAGCTTTTGAAGTCAAACCCTGCCCAGCGGAAAAACCAGCAAGGTAAAATGCAGTCTCTTGCACAGCTGCTCAAGCAACTGCCTCAGTGACCTGAGTCCCCCCTCAAAAACAGCAGACGATGGGACTGCAGCTGAAGCAAGGCTGCAGGATAGAGAGAAACGGACACAGTCTACAGCAACAACCTCCAGAAGGAGAGTCGAGCAATGCGGGAAATGTTACTGAAGCCAGAAACGCAGGCAACAAGGACCCCACACTTGGGACCAAAGGAAGCAAAGACATGCTACATGGAGCAGGACCACAACATACCCCACAATAAACTAAAATGAAAGACAAACACCAAATGGGTAATGAGCCCTGTACACCGCAACAAATGCTCCAGAGGCAAAGGTAGTTGCACAGGAGAGGCTGCTGTCAAGCAAGTGCTAGGGTCTGAAAGAATCTCACCAAAGCCCCTATGAAAGGAAGGGTGTTAGCCAGCCAGGATTTGAATGGCATAACAACAACCGTTTTCTCTAATTGTTTCTTGATTGGCATGAGATGCCAATCAAGAAATAACTAGAGAGAACAGAGCAAACTGAGACAAAAGACAATGGGCTAAAAGACAGTGGCAAAAGAAGCACCAGGAAATCTCATACTGTTGCCGTGAGGATGCAAGTATGATACCTATAAATCAGGCACCTGAACACTATACAAATGTTGACAAGTGACGCATCAGAAACTCCAGATGCATAGAACAAAGTTTGAACCAGCGAAGTACACAGTTGGGCCAATCCTTGGGAACAGGCGGAGTCGTGGAAAAATTATCGGATTTGGACACCGGGCTAAAAGCACCGGACACCAAGGCTGGGTCAGTCACCAATAATGATCATGTCTAGTATCTTGTCTTGAGGTTATCTTGAGGTGGGTAGGTTAAGTTATCTTGAGATGATTTCGGGGCTTTTAGTGTTCCCGCGGCCCGGTCCTCGACCAGGCCTCCACCCCCCAGGAAGCAGTCCGTGACAGCTGACTAACACCCAGGTACCTATTTTACTGCTAGGTAACAGGGCATTGGGTGAAAGAAACTGCCCATTGTTTCTCGCCGGCGCCTGGGATCGAACCCAGGATCACAAGTCCAGTGTGCTGTCCGCTCGGCCGACCGGCTCCCCAGTACACAGAGATTGAACAACTGGGCAAGCACGACACAGACTGAGCTATTGGGTATTTATCTAGCCACTGAGTACCTTAAGCTCAATGGTGGTGGAGTGATATTCTGTGACTCAAAAAGTGATCTGCAGTCCTTAAATAACCCATCACAATTTATGTCTGAAGTAGCTTGTAATATTAAGTGGAATGAAATGTGTGCCAATGATAACCACTATTGTATAAAATTTGTGTGGATCCCATCCCATGTTGGAATTGGAAAACATGACTATAGATCGAGTGGCCAATGAGGCTTACAGGAAAGAAAACACTGATTATGACTTTGGACTATCTAATGCAATTATTAGAAACATACAAATTGAAGAAATTAATTCACAGTTAGAAGAACTAACAAATGCCCAGAGACCTAAAAGTTGCAGTATTAAACGCTATGACAACTTTTGTAATAATTGGTATTTGTATGGTCAGCACAGTAACCGAACCAGGCAATGTAATGATTAGTCACTGTGCTAATTCGCCTTCTTGAGGTTATGTTGAGGTTATCTTGAGATGATTTCGGGGCTTAGCATCCCTGTGGCCTGTTCCTCAACCAGGCCTCCTTTTTGTTACACACCCCCAGGAAGCAGCCCATAGCAGCTGTCTAACTCCCAGGTACCTATTTACTGTTAGATGAACAGGAATATCAGGGTGAAAGAAACTCTGCCCATTTGTTTCCACCTCCAACAGGGATCAAACCCAGAACCTCAGGACTATGAGGTTGGCTATAGGCACGTCTGGCAGCTTAGTGAGGCTGAGCCACTACCAGAATATTCAGATTACAATCTCTGTGACAAATCTTTATTGCATTCACTAGAACACTATATTGTTGAATGTGAAATCATAAAAGATTTTAAACCTCCTGTCCTTCTGTACCACCAACTGTGTAACTATTTCATTGAATCTGATGTACTGGATGACATCTAACAATTTATACAAAATGTGCTTGTCCATTTTAAAGAATAAAGAACAATATTATTTATATAATGTTTAAGCTGCATCTCTTATGAACCCATCCCTGCCCTTGTGTAGCAGTGCACAATATTAAGTTGATTTTACATATTCATACATTAAAACATTGATTGTAACCACGATATAATCATGCTTCAGCCTACAGTTTAGACCTATTGTCTTGTGTATGACCCTCTGTCCTTTGTGACAGTGAATACCAGCATTACCCTCACTTTAATAAGACTTAATTGAAATCCTCAGATTAGGCAAAATTGTAATTAAATTTTGTTACTAAAGATGTTAATACTGTAATAAGTCACCATTGAGTCAAAGGTTCCCCCTCCCCAAGTACAACTCCAGAATGAATCACACATGGAGCTACAATGGATTTAGGGAAAACAGGTAAATACACCTCAACTTAAACCATTCATGTTGAAAGGCATCTGCGGCAAGTGCTTTGTGATCTGGAAAAGGAGCCACCTAGGAAGAAAGGCACCAGTTTCATGCTGTCGTGAAGAGATCTACCTTGGGGAGACCAAACACATCACAGAACAAATGGAAGGACTCATCATTGAGGGTACACTCAATGGAGATAAGCCGAAAGTGAGACAACCCATCCACAGAGAACACATCCCGGATGTTTAGGTGAATCAAACTCCTTGAAGCCAAAAACGAAGCTACCAAAGCATCGAGCTGAACAGAGGAAAGGTCCGAAGTAACCCCTCATGGTTCAGGCAATGAACCACCAGGAAGCAGTTGGAATGAAGCTGGATCATTGAGGCTGGAGGAAGCCAAATCCTCCTCAGGGCATGCAATTTGCATACTGTGCTGCGAGCCTGAAGGAACAGACCAAACCAACGACCCTGGGCATCTTAGTGATAGCTGGTCACAGACACATTCTTTCCAACCCGGAGAGAATGTGTCTGAAAACACATCAAGCGATGTGTTTTCAAACTTATCAAACTAGTACCTGGAGAGGGTTTTGGGAGTTCTTCAACTCCCCGAGCCCAGCCTGGGGCCAGGCTCAACTTGTGATAACTTGCTCCAACAGACTGCTGCTGGTACAACAGGTACAATGCCTTTGCCTGGAGCAAAGCCCTGTCCAGGGTAAATAAAAAAAAAATGCAGGCAAAGTTCAGGCTCTTGCACAACTGCTTGACTAGTGTGCGAGTCACCCGGAGTCAATCCAACACCAGGCGATGACAAAACTGCAGGCAAAGCAGAGCCATTGGATGCAGGGAGAGAGATACTGACCAAGAGTTCCAAACAAGGCCCAGCCAAGCCTGAACCTGGGACAGCACCACCTGGGACTTCCTCTAGTCCACCAGGAACCCAAACCCGACGAGCTAGAGAAGAACCAGATCCCTGATCAGTAGACATGTGGACCGACTAGGGGCCCACATCAATCAGTAATTGACATAGGCCAACACTCAAACTCCTAACAAATGAAGCTGGGCCACAATAACCCACAACTGCCTAGTTAATATGCAGAAAGCCAGTTTCAATCTGAAGGGGAAAAGCCCGAAGAGGTAAGCTTGATGCCCCACAACAAAACGTAACCATTCTGAATCCTGGATGAATAGTGACATGCCAATATGCATCCTTGAGGTCCAAGAACACCATCAAAGCTCCAGCCTGTAGCAGGCAAACATGGATGAAAGTAATCATGAAGCCATTCAGGCCCAAAAGACTGAGGATGAATCAAAAGTCCACCGAATTCCACTTTTGGACGAGGAACAACCAGGACACCTACCAAAGGGATAAGGTTGGCTCGACCATGCCCAAGACCAAGCAATCTGCAATGACGAGATACATTGCTGGGGAGGACTCTTGACCCAACCCCAAATACAGGCGAGTGACTGACCCACCCCACCAAAGACCATAGGAAACTATCCAAAGTCCCCATATATCGAGGGACCAATAGCTGGAAAAACGACCTAGACGCCCCCCCCACATCAGCGTCAAAGGGGCAAACCACAAAATGGCCGGCATGAGCCCCTTGTGGAACCAGACCTCGACGACAGCAACATCAAACCATGACAGCAACGACAAGAGGAAGAAGCCTTTTCAGGAACTGCAATGGCCAGGAAACCTCAACACAAGCAAACCCTAGCTTGTAAAGTGGCAGCTGCATGGAAAGTCCACTTTCAGAGGACTCTGGGTCATAAACATCAACCCAATCGGCAGCATAGTAGCAGTAGAAAGAATGAATATTGTTAAGTAGCAAAGATGATGAACACCCATCAAACTTGCAAACAGGGAGGTCAGGCTTGACAGAATGCTACATAAGGACCATAACAGGCAGCCATAGGGAATTCCCAGGGCCTAAAGGAATCAGGGCCAAGCAGATACCCCAGACAATGGGGCCACTTACCGGAAAAACAGACACCGAGTGCTTTAACCATCAGGCCATGAATACCATAATACGCTGTGTAAACCATGAGCACAAACCCTAGGTGCCCTAACACCGCCAAAGAACACCCCCTACCAATGATCCAAACAGAGGAATCCACAATTCCTGAACAGCCAAAGACAAGGCTCCCCACCCTGGCAGAAGGCTTCTCAGGGGGTGAACTCCCAAACACACCTGAGATGGGAAACTCTGGCATTGCAAGGGAAGCATTAGCAGGCACACAGATAGGAGAACCTTGAGTGCATGCAGCCCGAAATGCCAAATGAGCCAAGCCCACTAAACAAGCCGGAACCAGACACATACACAAATCCTACAATAAAATAGGAAACAATAAACAAAGCAAATGCCCCTCACCTCAACAAGACAACCAATTCCAAGGATGGCTGGCAAGGATGGTCTTAAAGCTTCAGGACTTGCCTGCAAGTCATGGCAGCATGCTTCCTGTGACAGGAAGCACAAGCAGGTGTGAAGACACCAGCATCAGGACCAGAACTGACCTGTGGAGCTGACTGGGAGCTGGTGCCAGACCACCTAGTGGTGGTACTGTAATCAGTATTAATGAGTTTTGAGCTCGTTTCAATCAATCTCTTGGCCCATGTGATTCATTTGCAAAGTTCTTTGGCAGTTTTTGAGGTTTCATTTTCTGTGAAACTTCCAGTTGTCTGTAAACCTGCACTGACTGTCCAGATGCTCTTCTGATGAGGTGGCAGATTGTCACATGCTCCCTGCACCTCTTATGAGGGGAAAGGGGGGTCAGGTTCTGGTTTTGGTTCTTAGTAGGCGAAACAGAGCTTTTGCATCTGATGAGACATTTTAGAATGAAGCCATCTCAGAAAGATAGCTTCAGGGAGCCACCGGGGGGCTCCCTCCAGAAATTCCTAACTTTCCTTTTAATTGAGGTAGAATCTTCTTTTTTGGAATCTTGTTTTTTTTTTTGTTTTCAATGCACTGTTTATCTTGCTGATTGTCTATTTTTTCTCATTCATCTTTCTGGTGGCCTTTTCTTGGTTTATGAGCTCTCATATCCCCCTGCTTTTTGCACCTCTATAGAGGGAGATCAGGTTTTGATCTCTCGTATCCAGTAGGTTTACAGTGACTCAAAAGGGCCTAGCATATCTTATTTTGCATTTGCCTTGCATTAATTTCAGAGCTTAGTGTCCCCACAGCCTGGTCCTTGACCAGGGCTCCTTGTTACTGGACAAGTCAACCAAGCTGATTCTTCATGAATCTCAGCCTAGTTATCAGGTATGCTTTGGAGGCGTTTTATCAATTTATCTTTGGAATACTGCGAGGGGTCAGCCAGTTATGCCCTGCATGTGTAATGGAAGCATATTGAACAGTCTCGGGCCTCTGACGTTGATAGAGTTCTCTTTCAGAGTACCTATTGCACCGCCACTTTTTAACGGGGGTATTCTGCACATCCTACCATGCCTTCTGGTCTCATGTGGTTATTTCTGTGTGAAGGTTTGGCACCAGCCCCTCTAGAACTTTCCACATGTAAATTATCATGCATCTCTTCTGCCTGCGCTCAAGAGAACACAGATTTAGGCATTTTAGTCGGTCACAATACAGTAGTTTATATGTTTATTGAGTGGATTCTAGCAGTAAAGTATATCTGCTAGAATCTCTCCAGGTCAACAATTTTTCCAGCTTTGAAAGGGGCTGTCCTTGTGCAACAGTAATCCACTCTAGAGAGCACTAGCATCTTGAAAAGTATCATCACTGGTATAGCATCTCTAGTTTGAAAGGCTCTTGTTATCCAACCTGTCATTTTTCTTGCAGTTGTGATGGCTTGAACACATTACTATTGTGTTCTTTAAAGGTAAGGTTTTCCAACATGAGTACACCCAAAAGCTTTACATTGCTTTTCGTTCTATATTATAATTTGACTGCTTTTTGCATGTGGTTTCTGTTTTTATATTTTCATGTTTTCCGTAGTGCAGGAGCTGGAACATCATTAAATACCATATTTTCTGTAGCCATCGAAAGACCTGATTTACATCTGTCTGGAGATTTGCTGTGTCCTCTATGTTGTCATGGGTTGCCTGGTCATGGCATGGGTTCAAGTGGGTGGAGTTATCCACATAGCAACAAGGAGCCAATTTCAGAACCATAAGAAAAACCTGATTTAGTAATTTACTACTTAGACTTTCTATTATACATTTTTTAATTTTACATCTCATCCTTCAACAATTCTCTCCAGGTAACTGATTTACCTTCACTGAGTATTTGCTCTGCTTCACCAAGAATCCACCAAAACAACTGTCATAGAATTAAGATTATATATGTTTTTAGAAACAGCTGGTTTTACCTTAAGGTGGATAGATAGCACATCAATTACTATCACATTACCACACACTGTTTTTTAAGGTGCACAAAACAAAGATCAAAACCTTACCCCAAGTCTGACAACATTTGGATCACCACATTTTTCTTGCTCATCCTCTTCCTCGTCCTCCTCCTTCTGAGGTTTCTTTCGCTTCAGTCCCTTGACACAGCTCACCACCTTTCCCTCTTCCTCATCTCTGTCATTGCTCGGTAAACTCGTATAATCTTCCGCTAAAAACTTTTTCCTTCCAAGCGTCTGGGTCACCTGAAGTTGTGTCAACTTAACCAGATCCTTGGGATCAGCCTGGACCTCCTGTAGTGCTGCAATGAGACTGGCACGCTGCCAAAGCAAGAAAAATGTTTAATCATATTAATTTACTAATGATTACATGTATCCCTTCATACCATATAGTCAAAACTATATCACAGAGTAGAAATTACAAGTATAAATGCCATGGAATATAGCGGTTTAGAAAGTATTGGTACGTAACACACACATTTTCCTTTTTCTTCTTTTGGTCCACAATTTTCTCCAGCTGCTTTCGTTTTTTCTTTGACAGAAGTTTAACTGGAGCTGCATTCTTGTCTCGTAACTTTTTTGTGGCACGTTTTTTTGATGGAAGAACCAGTGCATTACTGGCATCATACTTGCTTGAAGATTCGAGTTCAACCTTAATCTGAAGAGACAATACTGATGATAATATTAGGAACATACAACGAACACACAGTATATACCATAATGGTGTATAGAAGAGAAAAATTAACTTGTTTATTATATGATAATGAATAATATCCTTATGTTTTGCAGCATCATATAATGAACAAGTTAATTTATTAAACACGCGCGCACACACACAAACTGCTGACATGGATGAAAAGTGCTTTGACAAAATGAGAGCGGTAATCCGACACAGTGTACTGTATTTGACTGGAGAAGTGTTAAGAGCAGAGTACCACAAGGGTGAGTTCTTGCCCCAGTAATATTCACTGTTTACATAAATGACCTTTCAATCATAAATGATTGAAAGAAAGGCATACGCCATCACTGTGGCACACACACACTACATAACACCAAGCGTTATATGACAAAGAGTGCTGGGAAGACGGGACACCACGAGCGTAGCTCTCATCCTGTAACTACACTTAGGTAATTACACTTAGGTAATTACACACACACGACAGCAGGCTCCTCCTGGTACACATAACCATGAAATGGTAGCAGGATTTTTTCAAGGGTCAAGGGAAATGCCATTATACCCACAGAGAGCCATTATACTCATATTTGCATCATACACATAAAACCCAGAAATAACTGTTTAACACTTTCGCCCGGGCATGACGCAGCATTGCGTCATCCGTTTACTGGCGGTAATTCCGGGGATGACGCAGCATTGCGTCATCCACTTTAAATAAATCGCCAAAAATCAGGTTTTTATCCGATTTTTTGGGGACTGGTTTTAAAATGCGCGCCGATGTCTTCCCATTTTCTTTGTTGAGCCTCGTGGCCCTCAGGCGGCTTGGCACATGCCGTGGGCCCATTGTTTTCGCTCCACTGTTGTGACCAATGTCGCCTCCCCTCGCATCTCAAACGTGTGAACATTTTGGATATTTTCCGTGGCTATATTTCGTACTGCGGCTTTAGAAACTATCTACGCTAACTCCACGATGGATAGTGATCATGAACAAGGCCCTTCCAGGAAGAAAATTGCGAAAGAAAGGCTTGAAAAGGGCGGGAATTGGGAGTGTAGCTGGAAGGCGGCTGAGCACTCACTCGCGGCTAACTCGTGGCCCGTCTTCAACTCGTCGGCGGTTGGAGCGTGACCAGGTTTTTTATTTTATATGCTAATGTTCCTCTAGAGAATTCTATTGCGAACCCATTGAGACCAAAATGAAAGACCTAGGATAAAAATTGAGGTGACCAGAGTGAAAATAGTGAAAACATTTTATCGTGTTTGCGCGCTCCTGGGTAACTCGTTCGCACTTTCTCTGTTTGCTGCGGGTAATTAGCCGGGCTCTTGGAGTTTATATGCATTTAGTGCTGTAGAGAATTCTATTGCGAACACAATGATACCAAATTTAATCTCGTAGGACGAGAATTAAGGTGACAAAGTTGAAGAGAGTATACACTTTTCAGAATTTACGCGCACTCCCGTGACACCCTGGGTCCCATATCGCACAGTTGAGGGGTGGCGAGCGGGGTGCGCCAAAGTGTTAACTCGTATGATGATAACATTCCCCTGGTAACACTTGTGACAAAAACACATTCACCTAGTACACACAACCATGAAATGATAGCAGGATTCTTCATGGGGTCAAGATAAACTTCATTACATCTCAAAAAGCTATTATATCCATGATAACCAAACTACACATCAGAAGAGGGAGAAACAACGGTGTTCTGAACCGTCCTGGACCATTATCAAGTTATTATAGAATTTCGGTCCGTCCTGGATCATTATCAAGACAGACGATAATGATCCAGGACAGACCAAAAAGTCATCATTTCTCCATCTCTGATGTGTGGTTTGGTCATTACATCTTCAGCCACGTTATTGTGATTCATCGCCTGCCTATTATATCCATACTGTATTTGCATTATATATGTAAAACCCAGATAATAACTGTCTGGGTTTAAAATGATATATGAAGATAATCACATTAACCTGTGAATCAACATATAATGATAATTGCTGTCCAAAGGTTAAGAAGGGGGCGAGACTTAACAGTAATGCCACCCATATAATAAGTGAAAGATGGCAAGCTGAGTCCCTAGATTTATGGTTATACCGTACATACAGTAACACATACATCCAAGTATTTTTCAACACCTTTGTTTCCTTAGCTTCAATCTACGACCTCTTCTTGAGGTTATCTTGAGATGATTTTGGGGCTTTAGTGTCCCCGCGGCCCGGTCCTCGACCAGGCCTCCACCCCCAGGAAGCAGCCCGTGACAGCTGACTAACACCGAGGTACCTATTTCACTGCTAGGTAACAGGGGCATAGGATGAATGAAACTGCCCATTGTTTCTCGCCGGCGCCCGGAATCGAACCCAGGACCACAGGATCACAAGTCCAGTGTGCTGTCCGCTCGGCCGACCGGCTCCCATATTCCATACATTATTCTCTTGTTCTTGAGGCTGCCAGAACTCAGGTAATACTCTTTGCCAAACTGGTTGATTCCTGTTATTATTTGAAAGTGGTGATCATATTGCCATTTTTTCCCTCTAGCTTTGGCATATTTAATGCCACTGGCTTCTCTTTATAACTCCTTTTTCTGTTCCATAAGCCAATTTCTAGTATACCTGAGCACACTTTTTCAATTTTATTTGTTCTTTTTGAGATATGGCCACCATACAACTGCTACATATTCAAATTTTGGTCTCACAAAAGTCATGAACAGTCTACATATTAAGTATTTCACCATCCATGTAATTAAAAGTGATTCAGAAGTTGGAAAGCACAGCATATACTTCTCACACACTGCATTTTGTGTGTTCCTCTGGTGACAGTCTACTATCCAGAACCATCTCTAGATATCTTCATTTGAGTTATTTAATACCTATCCAAATACTTTGTAGGGTATGTGTGGTCTATATTTTGCTACTCCACATTTCATAACATGGCATTTATTCACACTGAATTCCATTTGTCACATGGTGCTTTTATCTAGGTCAATTTCAAGGGCATGAGAATCATCTAGGTTTCCACTCTTCCCTTGAAGATTAGCATCAACATCAAACATATTCAAATAATTTTGTATTCCTTCTGGTTGATCATTTATATAGACGATGAATATTATAGTGTAACAACTGAACTGTGTGGTACTCTGCTACTAACACTTCTCCAGTCAGATTCATTGCCTCTGATTTCAGCCCTCACCTTCTGTCAGAAAATTTGTCATCAATGTCAGCAGTTTCCCCGTCACCCCTCCAGCTTGCTCCAGTTTCCAAAAACTGGGACTCTTGTGTGGGACTCTGTCAAAAGACTTTTTTAGGTCTAGATAAGGCACAATCAACCCAACCATTTCTTTTCTGTAGAATCTCTGTTGCTCCATCATAAAAACTAAGTAGATTTGTTACAGCTTGATCAAACCTCGATAGGGTTCTGGGAGTTCTACTCCCCAAGTCCAGCCCAGGGCCAAGCATGACTTGTGAGAGCTTAGTACTATAGGTTGTGGCTTGGAGCAACCAACAAGGTCCATGTATTCACTACAGCCTGGTTGGTATGGCACTTCTCGAAGAAAACTATTCAGTTTTCTTTTAAAGACATTCACATTTGTTGTGGCAAAATTTCTTATGCTTGCTGGGAGGATGTTGAACAACCATGGACCTCTGATGTTCATGAAGTGTTCTCTGATTGCATTTCCTTCCATATCATTCACTCCAGTGTAAATTTGGGACCTGGCCCCTCCAGTATTTTCCCATGTAGAATATATATTACTTGATGTTTCTCTCATCTCCTTTCTAAAGAGTACATTTGGAAAGCTTTGAGACAATCCCAAAATTTTAGGTGCTCTATTGTATCTATGTTTACCAGATCTTCCTGTTAGAAAACCATACTGTCTATTATGTCATTACTCTTCATGTGTTCTACTAATTTGGGTTTAAAACAAAATTCTATTGTTTTGACTATCATGCAAGTTAATGATAATGGTCTCTGCTACAACTTTTGTAGCTTGGAACAGTTTGCCTTTTTCCATATATCTGCTAAGATTTCTGTGTACAAAGATATCTGGAATATCAATTGAAATCGAACTCTAGCAGCACCCCAAGTCTCTTATTTCGTTTACGCTCTTCTCACCACCTCTCCCTTGACCCCTCATCCCAATCCCCTTTGCCCCTCCACCATCCTCCCATGCTTCTCCCGATCCCTTTGGTCCCCTCATCATCTCTCCCTTTTGCCCTTCCCTCAAAAAATTTATTAAGAAGCACAAACAACTGTATGGGGGTCTCTTGGATAATATATTAGTACAGCCCTGTATCACTAAAAGCTCCATAGTAATCACACCTAATATTTCATACTACACTATGAAAATCACGTGGGGTGTCTATAAATGCTAATATTTATTAAAAGCATTTATTTTAAGCCTACCCTAACCAGACCATTATACCCTGCAAATTTAGGTGAGGCTAGACCCAAGCAGTTGGCCTCCAACTTTTGACAGATGTTCTCTTATAGTATGCTGGGGGTACATAGCATTGCCCAGGCCTGTCTTCCATTTGTTTATCTATTTATCTATCCATTCATCTATCCATTTATTTTTCCATGTATTCTTCCAGCCATCTATCCTTCTCTCTATCCATCCAGCTACCCATCTATTCATCTATCCACTCATATATATCTAGGCATCTATCAATCCATCCATATACCTATCCATCTAACTGTACATCTATCTATATATGCATCCACTGGTCTATCTATCTATACCTTACCTTGAGGTTACCTTGAGGTGCTTCCGGGGCTCAGCATCCCCGTAGCCCGGTCGTCGACCAGGCCTCCTGGTTGCTGGACTGATCAACCAGGCTGTTGGACGCAGCTGCTCGCAGCCTGACGTATGAGTCACAGCCTGGTTGATCAGGTATCCTTCGGAGGTGCTTATCCAGTTCTCTCTTGAACACTGTGAGGGGTCCGCCAGTTATGCCCCTCATGTGTAGTGGAAGCGTGTTGAACAGTCTCG